GTCGGCGAATAACGCGGTCGAGCGTGACGCGCTTGCAATCATTGCTGCTGCAGTTGAACGCGCTCGCGTGCACTTTCGCCAATCGCACCTGCGACGGACGCGCGCGAACAATGGAACAATCGCGTCCGTCGGCTGACCACCGGACGTAACAATTACGCGGCGATTCGCGTACCGACCGTCGACGACCGGTCGGCAACGTTTACGCGCCATCGTTTTCCGGCGTTTTCTGCGCGCGACGCCGCCGTCGGAAGTCCACCGTTTCGCCCGGGAAAACTCCGGAAACCCCTCTCGGCCGTGCATAACGATTGCAACCGGTGCCGGATTGCCCATTAGGCGCAGTAGGCGCCCTCAATCGTTTGAAGGGCCCTGTGAAAAATATACCGGTATTTTATTTACGAATTCGAGGGATAAAAGTCAGTATGAAATATATAATATATATATATCAAGTTGTTAGTGTTGTATGCGGTTAGAAATAATAAAAAAAAAAAAAAAAAAAAATAGAAATAATATAATGATTAATTACTTTTTCTTGCAAATAAAAAAAATTTGATAAACACGATTTTATTTCTTGTTAACAGTTGGTCATTATAAAAGCTGTTTGTTTTAATTGTTGCATGGTGATGTTAAAGATGTAAGTAAAAAATAATTTTGTTGGGCTCAAAATTTTAATCACCCACGAATGTTTAATCCGGCACTGATTGCAGCGCGCGCGATCCCGTTGTTACGTCGCACTTCGGTCGCACGTACGTGGCTGCGAAACCGATCCCGGGATTCCTGTTGCGCGCCCATGTTCACCAGTGACTAAAACTGTGCGCGGTACGAAACACTATGCGTAAAACGAAACGTTAAGTGTGTAGTACGAAATTAAAAAGTGCGTTGCTATTCTCCGTGATATGGTATTCGTTTTTAACTTTACATTTTTCTATCCGATTACCTTACATACTTTTAAAATTCCAAGACGTATCATCAGCAAAATCTAAAACAACACATATTTCAAGTGTGTGTCACTCAGCACTGTTAACATTTGAAAGGGATGCGCGGCAAAATCCTTAAGTACGAAAAAGTATATATTTAGCGATCGCGCGCGAAATCATCGAAAGCCGGGAAGACGGCGAGCGATTCGGTGCTGCGACGTAAACGGATTTACCGTTCGAAAAACTGACCAGGTGCCCGTGAAGGGATAAGCTGATGTTCGCGTTTCGATATCGTTTTTGAACGCGCGCGCGAGAGCCGACGGAAAACGGGCGCATGTCCCCAGCCCCACCCATGGTTTTTTGCGTTTTATGATAAAACTAAAGCCTTGCAAACCGTGAAAATGTTCTTGCAAAACTGTTGCTGATTGGCTGCTAAATGCTGACATGAAAAAAATGTCAATGTTTTGATTAGGTGGGGTTGGTGACACGTACGTCACCATCAGGTGCGTTCTGCGTTCGGACACGAGTAGCGAACGTTCGTCGTCGCGACGTGTTCGTCAAAACGGTTCAGTTTTTCCAACAACGTTTGCCGTCCACGGTCATTGTTGCGAACGATAACGCGTACTTACACGATCTGTAGAACGCGGACGCGATTTATGTATTGCACCCGATTGATAATCGCGAGAGTCCCACCCCAGGGCGAATGCAACACCATACATAGGTTCTTAACTTTTTTTCTTGGCCATGGACCCCTTTAAAGCATAAAATATAATCACGGACCCTCCCCCCTTCGTAAAAAAAAAATATATTTAAATACATAAATAAATATAATTTTTATTATACGGCCACGGGTCAACAGAAGTGATAGGTTTCCGTGTTAAATTGAAATGCTCGTTAGATTGTGCTGCCATGTAACATTATTTTACGATTACGATTACTTTATATGTCATATAAGATCATCGTAACCTAAGTTTTGTATTTAAAAACATTGTTGCCTTTCGAGTGGCTTTCAAGTGTTTCAACAATTATTATTACCACATTAAAAACGCTATAGAAACAAATCTATTTTTGGCTTATTTAGAAAAAAAACTCACAGCCACCCCGTGAACACTCGAGTAACCATCTACGGACCCTCAAGGGGTCAATGGACCCCGAGTTGAGAACCTATACGTTAATGTATACATTATTAACAGTCCGCTAGCAATAGTTTTTATTTTTTTTTTTTAAATTTTACTAGTTAAAAACATATTGCATTCGCAGTACGTTTCCGTGGCAGAAAATAGTGATCATTGTAAGTTGATTATAATAGACCCTTGGAATTTAGGTACATCTTCATGTTTAATTCACAATAATTTTATTCAAACACCTCGGAACACTTATAATGAATTTTTTTTTCAATTCGACCGATTACAAAAGTAAAAGGAATGGAATTATCGATTTTATTGGTACTTTACTTACGCTTATCTCATATCGTGTATAAAAAAAATAATTCGATTTCATAAAATTACATTGTAACTACAGATTATTTTTTCGATATAAATATATTTTAACTTCAATGCAATTTAGTAAATAATGTTTAAGTGTATAAAATGTGATAAAAAAAAAAAAACCAATTAAATCGTTTAATAATATCATTATGAAGAGCGTTAAAAATCCAACTCGTGTTGTCAAATTAAAGTGTCATTAGTGTTCGACGACTTGTGTGGTAAAACATTTAGGATAATTCTGTCTACAGACACATTTAATGATACACACGGCATGTTATTATAAAGTTTACTTCGTATTATTTTCTCACTCTAAACTAAAATGTGAAAATAACAGATATACATTTCAGATCCTTTACTGGAAATATTTGTATAAAGTAAATATCACGCAAAGTGATAATAGAAAATATATATATATATATATATTTATTCAATTATGTACAAAAACCTTTTAATTCGTCAGATGTTAACACTAATTATCGTTATAATTATAGTTCTTGTAGACTCTTTTAAATCAATTATAAAATTTAAATATTATATGAATATGATTTTATAATGTATTATATTTTATTTTTTTGCTCGCGTACTTTGTGTTTTGCGCTATTTTTTAGATTTTTGTATTTCAAACTGTCACAGTCTAATAAAATGTTCAAATAATGTAATTAATTGTATTAATACGTTATTGTTCGTTTAATTTTACTATGTAAATATTTATGTTATGGGCGTTGTAATTTATTGTAATTCGTTTACAATTTATATTTTTAAACAAGGATAACTAACGAAAAACTATTGCAATATTGTAAACAATTAATTAATTGATTAATCTAATTGAGTAACTGTGCTCTTGATACGGTAGTCATGGCCTTTAGCGGAAAAGTTTTAGCGTACCTTCAGCGATTTTATGCTATAGGTCGGTATCACCTCAATTCGTGATTATATACAAGTATATTATAAAGGATGCGTAGAAAATATTTGACTCTCGTTTTGATAGATTATCCGAACAACTGTTCAAAACAGTCCCTTAACTATATAGTGCTATAATGATTTCATTGTATTTTCTTCTGTGAAACTTATTTATAGATTCTCATCGCATTGAAATAATAATTTGTTTTATAACACATATTTATAAAAATTGCAATTTTTTGACACATAATGGTATGACGTACATAAGTTTAAGTACTGAAAATGTTGAATTTGTATTTTTCTAATCATTATTATTATTCCAGTGAATTCTAAATATTTTTATGATAATATCGAAGAAAATATTGGATATATTTTGTCGACAATGTGACACTATATATCAAAAACCAATGAGTGGCAAACTGTACAAATGTAAAATATTGTAACATATTGTGTGAATAAATCTAGGAATTAATGCATGCATCGACTTTAATCAGATGTATTGATTCTAAATAATGTTTATAATTGATGTGCCTGGTATTCATTTTAAATGGAAGCCATATGTGGATGTAGGAAGAGATTTTCCGGTGTGGGTCATTTCAGAATGTGATGAAATCTTACACCTATACTAAATTCAAACCGCTTAGAAATCCTGACATGTATTTTACGCAACTAAAAGCTCAAAAAGTGATATAATATAATCCATTTGTGTTTAATAATTTAACAAAATATAATGAAAATCTGATTTTATTTATATATTGAAATCATTTATGATATGTCAGCATGTACTTATGTATATTTTGAAATTCTTAAATATAAGTTTTTTACTATTGATTGATGTACATATAAATGTACGAGTATATGATTCCATATGATAGATTTTATTTCACTTTACTGTTAATATGTATGTACTGCACACCCAACGATATTTTTTGCCTAAACATGTTATATAATTATATCGATATATTTATAGTATAATATACTTCTTATAATTAAAAAAAAAAAAAAAAAAAATTGGTTAAAAGTATAAAATAAAATGTCATCTAGTTCACTTATAATTAAATAACTATTGTAATATTTTGATTACCTACTGAAGTTAAAATTAATAAACGTATGAAAATGCCTAATATAAGCAAGAATAAGGGATACGGCTGCTTCTGATATCTGATATCTTTAAATGGACTAGAAAAAATAAAATAATTATGTTAAAAATAATTTTTACATTTAACTGATGCTAATGCATAAATAAATTATTTATTATTTATTGAAAGTATATAGCAGTGTTTGTTTTTGAATCCAAGCAAGGCTGTACAATATTGGAAATGATAAACTATGATATACTTGTTATAATTTCTCAACGGTATTACTCTCTTTTATAACATAATATCTGTGCGTATGCTCCAGTTGAACAATTATTTTGGACATATTTGTAATTGTTTATGAATTTAATTCGACTTCGGTGAAATAACTTTAAACTTTAAAAAAAACCACTTTCGATATCCGAAAATTCGAATTACACCTACATGTAATACGTACACGTTAATTACCACTGTTGGAGTATCTAAGGGCGCGTCTTGCACCGTAATGACTTATGACGTGATAAATTTAAAATAATATGTATGCGCGTCTGAAGAGACGTCCCTGACACGCGAATGTACGCGATTCATCCGAAAACGTCGTACTACAAAAGTACTGTACCAACCTGCCGGTTTTCGTGATGATCATCTCCGTGCCCAGATCGTTGAACTTGTCCCACAGGTCTTTGGTCTCCAGCCGGCAGCTGACGTGCTGCAGCTCTTCCGAGTTGCACCGTTCCTCGAGCACCGGCTCGGCCGCCGTGGACGCCGTGGCCGACGGTGGACGCGGGGGCGGGCTGGACGTGGACGACGATATGATTATCTCGTCAGACGGCGATGACCCGGCCAAACGTACCGTGGCCGTCGTCGTGTCGGTGCTCGGACGCCGTTTCTTCTGCGGTTTCCCGTCTTCGAGTGAGAACGAAACAAAAACAAGAACATAGAAAAAAGAAAAAAACGCGTTTCAATTTTTTCATACGCATTTCATTTCATTTTTCGTGCAACGTGTGCAAACGATAATGTTAAGTTTATCGATATTTTTATTAGTGACGAAGTGTTGGCCATCAGGATTTTTTTTTTTTTACAAATTGTTCAACACGTTTTCGTCTACAAACGGAACAGGACACGTTATTACGGATAATAAAAATATAAAACGCAAAAAATCACGTTATAATTTATTGGTGGACGATAATTCGTACGTTGGTGTAATATATAATAGTAGTATACATCTATTAAACACGTATTCTTCGTGTGGTGGGCGGCACATATTGTTAAAACAACAGGTATATGATTTTTTTTTTTTTGAAACCTGTATACATGAGCACTGAACGATATTTACCTCACACCTCGTAGCATAATTTTCGATTCGTAGTTTTCAATTACGAGAATAGTAAATTTAACGTACGTGTAATTACGCGCCTTACTGATAACATATAATTGTATACAAGTAAATGTGTTGCTGCACAATTAATATGGGTGACGGAGACGAGAGAGGAAAACCGTGCGATATCAAAACCGAATATCTATCGCGGTGCAACTTTTAACTTTAAACGGCGGTTTTTTAAACTTTAGCGAATTTTGGCGAAAAAACCAGTTGGCTGTCGAATAAATTAATAAATTCGCCTGACGTTTAAATGTTGAAACGATACGAAAATCAGAAACGTAAGACACTACGTTCAGTGACGATATATCGACGGCGCAGAGAGAATCACGATATAAACGCGCGTCCGGCAAATGCGTGCGTAAATCTTAAACCGAGGAAAATCGGAGTGCCCAACACGAGATAAGGTGCGGAAACGTTATCGGATCGCGTTATCAAAGCGTCAAACCGTTGATAATAACTACACGACGTACAACAAGTGCTAGCGCGGTCTCACCTTCTTCGTCGTCAGTGGTGACGGCGGCCGCGGCTGACGCGGTGGCCCGGTGATGACGGCGGCGGTGGTGTTGGTTGTTGTGGTGGTGGTGGTGGTGATGGTGGTGCAGGTGTTGATGGTGACGGTC